ATCTGTAATCTCAACAGTTTCTGAGGTGATCAAGAGGTTTTTTTTTTACATGGGCTCATTTTATACATTTTGGTTTTAATCATGCATCCCCCCAAAAGAGATAATAACTCATGTTTTAACCAGTTTTCAAAATATGGCAATAGCTGAGCATGGATCATTCAATCTGATTAGAGATGCATCGTTTGCATTTAAAATGATCAAAGATTTTCTGTATCTCACAATGCTGTAGCAATGTAGTAGCTGTTTCCAGTGCGTTACGTACATCTGAAGTGGTTGAGAATTGTTTTACTTGTTTGCTATTGTGCTCCGCTGTCATATCTCTGAGCAGATCTACCTAAAACAACCTGTCAGTAATAGACAGAGCTGTGTACATGAGTCAGACTTGAGTCATTGATTTGAGACTTGAGGCTCGATTTGACAATATGGCAAAAGACTTGCGAGATGAACCCCAATGCCATCTTTGTACTTACTTCAGTATTTATGTTTCTTTCTACATTTACTTGTATGCTATATTTTCTATAAAATGTGCTTCATTTACTTTTGTACTAAGCCTGTTAATTTCTTCTACAAAACTAAAAACAAAACTAATCCTTCAAGCTCTCCATTTTGATGATTCATGACCACGTGTCCCAAAAACAAAATGTTGAAATTGTTAACTGTCAATCCTGGGCCTGTTTTTTAGTGGATAATTGAGCCACCATAAGCCATGCAAAAATATATTAAAATTAATAATAATAATAAAAATAAAACAGTTTGCGCAAATAACATAATTTCTGAGGAAATAATTTTTAAAGTTTGGCTTTTTGTCCATAGACACGGGATGGGTGGAAACTCCCCTGTAGCCAACCATGTGGGTGCAATCGCAGCAGTTTGCCTTCACTTGAGACATACTCAATGTGCAGCACCAGGAAGTGCAATACCTCAGCTGACCACTTAAGACTTGTGTCAGAAGTGAGCTGAATCTCATGACCCCCATGTAAAAAAAACACATTTAAAGCATTCATAAACATATATTCGTAATTCATATTACCATTTTTGACCATTAATAGTTTAATTTATATCATGCCTTAAAGTTGAGCTACCTTTGTCCAATTTCAATTATCCAGTGGTGATGCCCAGTTTAAGCCCTGGATCAGGAACTTATGGATGACATTACAGATGCTATGGCTATAGCTTTACTGTAAATGTTCTATGTCATTCACTTATCTTTCGCATCATATTCACTCCTATCCAATTAAATGTAACAAGATCAAGGATTTAGGAATGTGTGGGAAAAAGAAGATGGACTCAAACTGGGAATTAAGAAGATAGAAACCTGCGATCATGCTTGAGCATCAAACTCACGAGAATCTGCAGACTTCTTCTCACTTCTTGGGTTTGCAAAGGCGAGAGTTAGTAGAGCAGAGTGGTGTGAAAACATGGTGTGAAAACAGTTAAACTAAATCAGCTACTTCTAAAAGTGCTTCCATAATTATAAGTGTCTGGGAAATTCTGGTATGCTATATGTAGCAGATTTGAGTTCACATGACCATTGCGATTACTCACCGATTTGCATCTTTATGGAATTGTTCTTATTTTTTTTCCTTTGTTAAACATGTCAGGGACAGTCCCGCTGAAGTCATAAAGATAGTCACCCAAAACTTTTTTGTAAGAAATATTTATTGACCCATTTCTGACATACATTGTGGATTTGGTTTTATACACAGATAAGATTTTAAGATTTCTTTTCATTCTGTACAAAATTAAGTTTTAGTTTCAACTTGCACAAATCATATATATATATATAAAAAAAGCTGTCATTTTTTTAAGGATGTATGTTCTAGCATAACCTCTGGACATTCACCGGGTGAAGGAGAGGAACTATAATGCCTTGGTTAGGCTTCTCAAACGCACGTATCAAATTCTTGATTTTCCGGAACAATCTTTTTGTTTGACCTGGTGCTGTCTGTCAAAAAAATTAGAAAAAAGAATCGAATTAAACAACATAAATCAGTTAGAAATCTTTGTAGAAATGTATTTTGGTTGGTGGTTAACTGGTTCAAATAGACACAGAACTCAAGAGAATTATTTAATAAACAATACCCAATTATAATACACAATAATAGTCAATAATTTTTTGTCAGAATCCATCAGGGGCAAATGTTGTCCAGATTCAGCTTATTAGAATAAAATCCAAAACTGCACTGAATTTGCTTGAAAAATTTGTAAGTATGTATCAAAATAAAGTTGATTGTTTTATTAAAGTAAGGTAAGTAATGTTTTTAAAGTAAGCAATATTCCTTTAATGCAAATGCTGAAATAATCGAGTGATATTGTCCCATGGAGCCGTACGAGTGATGACTCTGGAAGCTGAATTTTGCATTAACTGCACGGTATGCAGCTTACTCCATTAAAATTCACGCAATTAAAAAAGTACTTTGAAATCTTTTGAAGGTTTTGAAATCTTGCATTTAATGCAAATGCTTTATTCTTTTTTCTATGTTATTTCATCACTTTGAGAAGTGAAATTAAGGTATTTTTTAAAATAAAGTTAATATTATACCAGTCAAAGGTTTGCACTTTCTTATCAAACAAACAAAATGTACAATTAGTCCGAACAATACATATAACAAAACAACTGCAGAGTTTGAGCTTGCTATGAGTTTTTCTTCATCACAAAACCAATTTTTTCCAGGAGCATCACTTAAATTTTTCCAGGAGCACAGATGAATTGACTGAAAATATTATTTAAGCAATAGCAAACTGGGTTCATTATGTGCAGAGCAGAGGATATTGAAAAGTGTAACGCATTAACATTTTAATGTCGATGCATAAGGTTTATGCACCGTTTCTCACCTCAGCTGCCCATGAGCCTGAGAAGTCCCTCTGGACCCGATAAGTGTAGATGAATCCATTACACCTGGCAGATGGAAATCCCACATTGGATCAATGAAGCCATGTATTACATAATGAAGAGCAGAAGCTGAGGTTTGCGTAAGACTTACAGAACACAGAGGCAATAGACTCCAGGAATGCTCTCACTGTCTCGTATCAGATAGCTCCCATCTCTACCGGCCTCACACAGACGCTTCTCACACATTTCTCGACTGATGGCTCCGTGATAAACAGAAAGCGATTCCATCCTGCCAAGTGTGTCTACAGTCTCAGGTAATTACTGCCTGCATGTGATTTTGGTCCTTCAGACAGGAAATGATGACATAAGGCAGGAAACAACCTCTTCACAAAGAAAACACAATCTGTGAAAAATAGCAAAACCATATTGAACTTTTATCTAGAGCTCACTCTGAGCTTCTGTATTAATCCTGCAGTGTCACCTTTCCTTTCGTGCACCCTTTAATCCATATTTATTACTAAGCACTGGCTTTAATAAAACACACTACCTGCGTTTGTTTCCACCTGTGTTTATTTGAATCAATATTGTTTTATTGTCAATGGCCAGATGATGAAAATGAAAGCATGAAGATTAGTTCTGTATTGATGTTTTCCAGCTGTACCAAATATTTGAGAATATAGTCAGAAAATAGGGATGTATGCATGACATTAAGCAGTCACATAATAGAAGCACCACATCCTGTTTCTGCATATACATTTGATTTCAAGTAGGTATGCGTGTGTGTGTGTGTGTGTGTGTGTGTGTGTGCGTGTGCGTGTGTGTGTGTGTCTTTAAATATAGTTTTTACAAAATGCAACGATACATTTCAGCATTTGTGAGAACGCCTCACTAAATCAGTCATCCAATCAGAACACTCATCCAATCCACTCTGATTGGATGACTGATTAAGTGAGGCGTTCCAAGGAAGTGTGAGCAATCTACAGTTCACACACCCTGACTCTCCATGATAGCTCCTTAACTTTTTGGTTTGTGGTATCTCCATGCTGTTGGCTCAAGACTGACATAAAATTCTGAGTTCCATTCCAAGTGACGTGAATATTAATTATGGATATTTTATATTTTGAAAGTAAATAATGTATATAGTTCCTGATCTTGTATTTCATAACCAGAATACATGACAACTGTACTTTACAAAGACTGAACAATTGATAACTGAATAAATATGAGTAAATATTAAAATTTTGTGGAGTATTTGGTTAATGATTTCATATTTATTTATGAAGCACAGATTAGAAACAACTTAGTTGAGGAGACAAACTATATAAAAAACAGACAACATTGCTAAAAGCGAACATAAAAATAATAGTTAAAAGAAGACAAAATTCAAAATGCTTTATGAAGAAATAAAATGTACAATTCTAAGTTTGAACTTAAAAAACAGACAACCAGTCTCTGGTCGGAGGACCGTAGTGTTTAAACAATGTTTTGCAATTGATTAAAAGTTCTAGGAGCTAAACTAATAATAGATTTTTATACCAGTATTAAAATCCACTAGTAGCACATAAATGGTTTTTAATACTTGAGAAACGTCATCCCATTGTGTGAACCTGTTGCGTGAACTACTGCTGTATTTTAGAACAAAACAGAGTTGATTGATCTAATCTAGATGAAATAAAAGCAGGTCTAGGTTTTTAAAAGAAAGGTTTAAGTTTAGTTAAAAGTCTTAGAAGAAGCAAGAATTCACCACAGTTTGTCTCTTGATTAAAAGTAAAAGAGTTATGCGCTGTGATGATGGGAGAATATTGTTGGCTGAATAGTGTGGAATAATTTGACTGGTCCTGTATGACCCCAACCCCATAGGTAACACCTTTGGGATATATTATAATGAATATAGGTCAGTCTTTGAGCTCTCAAATGTTCCCAGCAAGAATGGTCAAACATTTTCCTGAGCCTTTCAGGAAGGCGTCCCAGAGCAGATGTAGCTGTTATATCTGCAATGTGGGTTGACATATTAAGCCCCTTGGATTAAGAATGGGGCAATAAAGTTATTGACAATAGTGTCATACCTTGAAGTTAAAATGAATTAATTAAATAATTAATTACACAAGATAACTTTTCTAAAGTCAGTTTATAGTTGTAGCTACCTCTATTTTCTCTGGTGTCTGCTGCTTTCCTGTGGCTCAGTTGGTAGAGCATTGCGCTAACAACGCAAAGGTTGTGGGTTAAAATCCTAGAGAAAGCAACTGACAAAAAAAATTAAGTTGCTTTGGATAAAACTGTGCCAAACGCATAAATGTTAATGTAAATGCAAACCCATATATCTCACTTGAGAAAGATGAATGAAATCACAACAGGAAGCAATCAAATTTCAAATCTTTACTTTAAAACATAGACACCAATACAGCTAACAATATAAATTCATACTAAACATTCATGAGAAAGTGAATAAGAAGTGCATTGATACTGAACATCAACCGTTTATATAGTTAATCATCTTAGAGATATGAAAACAAATCATACAAATTCACATCATCTCTAATTTTCTCTGAATTACATTGTGGCAACTGTCTCCTGATATTTCACCAGTCAATTTCCTTTTTGAAACAAAGAAGGGGTCAAATCTATAGTTCAAGATGTCGCTTGTCTTCGTTTACAAAAATACAAAGTAACTGGCCTGCACTTAGAGGTTTTCAAAACTCAAATCTTTCTTCTTAGTCCAAATCCACAATAATTAATTCAAGTTTTTTTGCGAAAATCATACTTTTTTCATTCATTCGTCTTCTATACCGCTTATTCCCATTCGGGGTCACGGAGTTCTGCTGGAAGCGGGGGTGCACCCTGGACAGGTCGCCAGTCCATCACAGAAAAATCATACTTTTCTTGGCTAAATAATACACAAATGAACATATCACGAGAGCATGTCTGCAATATAAAATGCTTGCACCAAGGTTTGGGTCTGTCATAATGCTTCCAATATCTGCGGCATATAAGCTCCATTTATTGAATTAAAATTTAGCAAATGAACAGAAATTTTAATTTAGACTCAAAAGAACTGAAGATTATTTTTAAGTGGTCAGTGGGAGAAAAAGGTATTTGACCCTCTGCTGATTTTGATGATTTGATCAGTCCATACATTTAATGGTAGATTTATGTCAGCAGTGAGCGAACAACAAAATCCAGAGAAATTAATCAGCCACGTTTCTGTCTTCCAGGTTCCTTAAATAAAGGTAACTATCTGAGTTCAGGACCCTCCCGTAAAGCTATGACTGTCCTGAACATGAGAACTTTTCAGAACCAGTTTTTATCTATGCAGGAAGATCTTGTCAATAATCTGCAGGGAATCTAGTAACCAGGAAAACAATTGGCATGACCCATAACTACCAAAGAACATGCAGAGAAAAACTAAGTGAAAGTTATGTGGTCAGATAAGACCAAAATTGAGCTGTTTGGCCCACATGGGCCCCATATGGGCTGTAAATATGGGTTTGTCAATGGGTTCCATGTGGGCCCTATATTAATTAGCCCATATGAATCTCATATAGAGCCTGACTGATGCTAATGTGGGGCCCAAATTGGCAACTTTAATAAGACCAATATGGATATCAACACAATAATTGTCATCAGTGAACAGAGGACCAAGAGTGACCAAGACTTTCCAAAAGCTGTGCATCTCTTTGCAACTCATTTCAGCAGGATTCATAAGATTTGAAAGTAGGAGCATTTTCAACAATCTAAGCTTTATTCCAAGAACTATTACACTGTCTATCGTTCTATTTAGCAATGTGTAAAAAAATAGGGTGGAAGTTAATTCACTGATACTGCAGTTAAAGCTCCTCCCACTTTTAAAGTGGGAATATGTAACACGTAAAGTAACACAACCCTAAAACTCGTTCATACACATGACTAACACAACATTATAAAAAACAGAAATTGTATTTGTAACTTGAGGAGTCCTACGATTCATGCTATATTTAAAGTAAGAGCTTGAGGAGGATATTGCAAATCTGATGCCAACTTTAAAAACGGCTAATTCTGCGAATGTCTAATTCTGAGGAACCCCAACAGATATAATTTTTTGTAAACGGTTGAAATATGTCATTCACTTATTTTTTTTTATGTTATTCTGCATCTCACAAAATCTACAATAATTGTATGGACTAATCATTTCTTTGTCTGTGGGCAAGGTGTCAAAAACCTTATTTCCCGTTGTGTACAGTACAGAAGTACAAGTGTATAACGGTGCAAGTCCAGAGGCACATCCTCCAGTAGGCAAAGTAATATTTATATAATATGTCTATAAACTTGAACATAGGACATTTCTCCACATTACCATTAGCAAAGATTTCCCAACTTACTTAAATTTGCTAACTACAACAATAAATATTATCAGAGTAGCAAATTAACATCAGAAACAAAATACAATTAGATATGATTGGATTCAGTGTGCTTACTAAAGCGTCATTATATTGTACAATCGAAAATATCCCCTTGGCGGCAAATTCAAAAGCCACCTTTCTTCTACATACAAAACATCTCTATAGCATATGAAATGGGTTCAGTCAGTATCATACATGTGTGATTCATTGAGGTGCGATTGATATCTGATTGAGACTCGTTCAACTCTGTGGACCTGTGTGTCTTTTGAATAAATCCTATCCGGAAATGGAAAAGTAATACCCTGTTTAGATTCTGTTTGCTCATGGAGCCGTGGTCTTAGATTAGCATTATGGTTATAGACATGAGAGAAATATCGGTTTGATGGGCATCATTGGTTGCAGAGCTTTGTATTGCTCGTGTTACCTTCAAATAACACATCGAAGGGGTCATGAACTGCTCATTTGAATGTTTTCCTTTACTGTTTTTATTGCTAGTTGTTGTTATAAAAAAGCATAAAGGATTGCGATCTTGATCCCTTTCATCCTGAACACTTTTCGAATAAAGTAAACGGCCACAGCAGTTGGAATGGAATAATTCAACATTTGACATACGGCCTGACCTAAACTGCCTGATACCTGCATAAAATCTATTCTATAACCTTAAAGAGCCCATATCATCATTTTGAAAAGTTAAATATTTGGTTTTTGAAGTCTCCAGCAACAGGTTGAAAAAAACGTAAATTATCTTTTAAGACACGTTCATTTTTAGCCGATTTTCAATAACTTGAAAAATCATTCGTACAAAAATCCTCCTGATAGTTTGAACCGTGTGCTCTCATTGGATACTGCACATCACGTGCTTCCCGAGACTTAACGTCTAGCAACAAATGGAAAGCCAGCGCTCCAAGGAAGACTCGACACACACAAATACTGATGAAACTCCAAAATAAAAGCGATTGGAGCAGGATTCGTCTCAGTTGAAAAAATCGTGTTACATAAATGTTTTGCCACTTCAACAATTTTTACAAGTGTTACTACATTTTTACTTGAATATATGTAGGTGCACATGTGGAAGCGGCACAATACCAGTGGCTTGGCAGTGAGAGTAGGAGGAGCTATGTTTTAAATGGATGACATGTCGTTGGTAGGAAGGGTGTGGTATATTGTGACGTCACAAGTTTTGAGCTCATTTCAGCATCTCAGAGTCGACTCTTTAGTTTAAAAGACTATAACTTGATACACTTTCACATTTAAAACTCAAAGCATATGTTCCTCCATCTTAGAGCTATGTTTCTTACAAATACAGCATTTTTCTCAATGGTTGTGTAGCCATAGAGGACAAACTAGCATCTCTGAGCAATATTCAAAACTTCAAGAAATAGATGCTTTTCAAGGTGTACATGTAAATAACTAAAACAATTGCCCAGTCGTTTGTTAATACTTTTGTTAGATATTCCAAATGTCTGTTCCTGTGGTATAGTGGATGTCATTCCTGTCAATCCTACTGTCCTATATGTTCTAATAAAGCTAAAATGCCCCCCCCCCCCCCAAAAAAAAAAAAAAGAAGATGGATGTCCAACAGATGGATTAGCTTTGACTGCAGCAAAGCCTTTTGTAATGACTTTTTCCTGCTTAATTCCAGTTAACTATGGGTGAAGTCACAGACAATATGTCCATGTTAAGAAAATCTATGGTTATATCCATGTTTTCCAATTATTCCTACACATTGCTACTCTCAAAAGATCCATCTGGAACACTGACTGGCCTCAATGCATTCCATAGACTTTCGACCAGTTCCAGCTCTCCTAACAATACTTTATTACACTACATTTAAAAATCTGTTTAATAACGTGGCAGGCTCTAACACGTTATTTGAAGCATTATAAGTAATTGTCATTTCTCAGTTCATGACCCCTTTAACGCTGAAGTAAAGATAGAGTTATGACAAACAATGCAGCATACGTCTGATGAGGGATTTTTTTTCTGTTGCCATTTTTGACATGTCTCTAGACTGATTTGAGAACATCAAGGTTATGATTGTCAGTCAGTTTTTTCCTGATGGATTTTTGTGATGAAATAAATACTCGAATATTAACTCTGAGATGATCCAGACACAGGGTCAACTATTTTTTCCCATTTTTTGATGCGAACTTGTTAAAGTTTTGCCGGAATGGAGATTGTCCAGACTTGGCAAGATGGAATTCGATTAGATCTGATTGCTCCATATCATCCGGTAGAACAAAGGGTCCATGGTTTGAAGGGTCTGAGGGGGACAAACACCTGCTTTGATTCACACCTGCTCGGCCGTCCCAAAACAAAAGAGAGAAAGGAGATGTTTTAGAAATGTAAACATTGAGATCACAGGAAAAAAAGTTTGTGGTGAAAGCAAAATAATCAGTGCGCAGCTGTGATGAAGCATGCTTAAAAGTACCTAAATACCATAGTTAATACAAACAGCTTTTCACAACTCTGTTTGGTGAGTAACATTTGGTTGTTTACTTACAATATTACAGTTTCATTACACAGAAAGCTATGGTATTTTGGCAGAATCTATAGTAACACTGCAAATTACTGACATTTTCTGCAGTGATCCTAAGCTGTAGATATTTCCAACTATGAGAAATAAACATGGGCAGCCATTTTTTGCCTCGCACGAAAGAAAAAATAAATAAAATAAAACCCATGGCAGTTTGAAACACAATCTTTTTCTTCTCGTTTATTTTTATATTCAAGAGGCCATAAGTGATGTAATGTATTAAAGTAAAAATGTATCATAAGACACGTCATTACAGATACTGTTATAATCAGAAACATGAGTGTATCAGATTCATACACGTTATGTATAAAATATAAGCAGCGTTCTACA